TGAAGCTTATTATGGCGGATTAGTGTTATGAAATCCATTTGTATAGTAATACATGAAGTGTTACTAAGAAAAGATATGAGTAAAGAGAAGGAAAGAGGAATGTAGAAGTGCCCTGTTGTGTTCAATTGTGTTTTTGTTGCAAAGTCAAAACAAAATTTAAGTTGTTAAACTTCAAAGTCAAATCACTTTTCATATTTTCTCCCCACCCAGAGAGCTTCAGCAATAAGGGTTCTTGACAATATAGACAAAACTAAAATATTCCTAGCAACTCTCGTGCCTTAGGTGTGAGTCTCACTTCTGTGGATCGATAACTTTGAAGGCCCCTGGACCTATTACTCACATACAGGCTTAGAATGTAAAATAAACTATTAGTAGTTTATTTTATATTTTAAGCCTGTATTTAAGCATAAGGCTAATTTTTTGATAGGTTGAAAAACTTGTGTGGACACTTTGTTCACATAGGACTATTCAATATCTTTTTTCTGTTCGTATGGAACTTGGAACAGCTAGGTGTCTAAATTTTTGTATGTTTAAGGTGGTTCTGTGTGAACATTACACCAGCCTATAGTTATAGCACAATTTTCAACTGTTTGATAATTTGTCTGGTTCTGTGTGAACGTAGCGGAAGACCCAATGTAAGAAAGAAGGTCAAAGAGAATGATCATACTTTCTGCAAAATCTCTGTGTTAAGAGAAGGCTGCAAGGGGTATATATATATTTCTATCACAGAAAGTGTGGCATACCAGGTTATATTTGCGAGTTGTCTGAGTCAAAACCCAAACGAGCAAGGTATGAGTGCGCGAGGGCTTTTGACACAAACAACGAGTGAAAAGAACCCTGTTCAAAGCACGTTCTATGATGTGAACTGTTTGCTACACATAGCATGAGAATTTTCACTGAAATAGTCTTCTTAATGTAATGCCTATTACTAAAAGCAAATCACAAACAGTAGAACCAAAAACAAAATGCACTTACAAAAGTTAAATCTATAAAGTAAGTCACAAAAGACAGGCCTCAGCGATGTGAGCTTGTATTATTATTCTCCATCTTCCTTTCAAACTTGAAGTAGAAAATTGGTGATTAACACTTCAAGATCTCTTGCATCAATATTTTCCAACTCTCTCGGCTCGTTCCTTGAAACATACTAAAAACTTTATCAACAAAGAAACATCTCTCTGTGTTTTGCTTAATGAGTTCTTGTTTTCTTGATGCTGCACAAACTCTTCTAAGGAGCAACCAACTGACACAAACCTGTTATAGTTTTCCCTTGTGTCCACCATTTTCTGAAGAAAAATTTGGAGGTGCCGCTAAAAAGCTGCTAAATTTGGAAAGCCATTTGAATGAAAACAATGAAAAACGCTGATTGAATCAGAAAGGCATTTAAGTTGTTGTTGATTGGTTATACTTCCACATGTGAAAACAGCTGTACGCCATTCTAATTATTGGCTGTATAAGCTTTTCTCACTTTTGAAAATAAAGCGGTAGATTTCTACAATTGAAGCTTTACAAAATAAAATTCTCATGATACATGTAATAAAAACATTTTCCTGAGAACTTCAGAACTCTTCGGAATGTTTTTGGAAATGTTCGTAAGGTCTTTGGAAATCATCTGTTGCTTTGAGATATAATTAGTTCCCCTACAAAAACCTTGGCACTCTCCCAGAAATAAGTCTCAATATATTTATGACTCTAAAGAGGTTGGCAGGTAAACTAAACTATGTCGAAATTGATTCAGACAATGTTTACCTTTTTTGCTCACTCTTGTATCACTGAGGATAATAATAAGAAACTACTGTCTTGAATCTGAGGAGCAGTATTGGGCCACCTATTCTTGGCAACCATAATCCCCTTGCATTTTGTGGTCCATGTTTAAGGCGTAATGTTAGAGCAATATTTTATTTTCTTTGACCTGCAGGAATTCCTAAGAAATTTTGAAGAATTTCCAGTAAGGATGTGTGTCATAGCAGGTACTTTTCTTTATGATTCTGATTGTAAATAGTATTCACAAATACCAGTGATAAATTACAGAGCACGGCAGAACTCAAAGCAGAGTTATTTTTCACCAAGAACACCCTGTGCAAACTAAACTGAGTTATTGCGAATAACAAGGTGGCTTCAAAGTGTCAGCATTTTGTGAATTAGTGTTTAGCTGTGTGCAATGCTAGTATTTTGGTGTGGACAATTTGGTGGCAAAACTTGTGCCTTCACTTACCAATTGCTCTGCAGATTGGGGTAAACTCCTACATTCCTTTAATAGTGTGAGTTGGTTTTTGTGTGGTCTATGGTCTTAACAATAATTGTGTTAAAATTTTAGTTATTGCCCCCAAAGGTTGGATTTCGAAGGCATGATTTTTGCTGGGCTAGTTCATAGAGAAAGAAAAAAGAGTGAAAGGCTCACTTCCCAACAACCAAGTCATAAATCGTATGGAAATTGTTAACACACCATGGTTAATGCCTTCAAAGGTTGTCCTTTCTAAAAATATATAACATAAAGCAATATGGTCCTAATATTATCATTGAAGGTCGTTCAATGGGTGCACGGGTTGCAGCAGAAGTGGCATCAAACAGCAGCCTTACAACAGACTTTGTTTATGGTGTAGCTTGTTTGTCATACCCTCTTCATCCACCAAGAAAAACTTCAGAGTGTCGAGTATCACCCCTTCTCCATCTTGGTGTGCCTGTGCTGTTCATTAATGGTAGAAAAGATCCATTTTGTAGGACAGATTTAATGGAGAATGCTGCTCTGAATAGAATGGCAAATGATTGGACTATGCATTGGGTGGATGGTGCTGATCATGAGCTTAAGGTGAATGGCAAAGTTAACAATGAAATCATCTCCAATATGTGTGAGTGGTTTGTACAATGGTGCCAGTCTGTATTCATGGCAGAACGATCGTGACAAAGAACTATGGAGTCTCTGCTGTCTCTCTTCAGGCACAGGCCTTGGAAGAAAAAAACTTGAATACCACCTTTCCCTTTGAACTCTTAACAAATTTTTTGCTTGCCAAAGGCCATTCCTTGTATGTCTCAGTGAATGATTTCACTGCAAGATCATCTGAGACAACTGCCTTGACCCTCCACCCATTAGGCAAGTGAGCTTCAAAATGTGCTTGCCCATCAAGAAAATTTACATTTTCCTTGACAACCGAACAGTACCTTTTTTGAACCCTGATTAAAACTGGTTGTCACATTTCTCTGGAGAGAGAAATGTGAGCATTTATCAGGGGGGTACCCAGCCTTTTTTGCAGAGGTGGGGTTGACGTTTCCAGCTTGTCTTAGATTACCGGTACTCACTAAGGAAAGTGAGTGAAAGTGGGACAAAACCAGCCGCTATGCTCGCCTGCAAGAAACACACTATGACAAGATGAACAAAGAACTCAGATCATGGTAATTTCTTTTGTTTGTCTTGCCCCAGTACATTTTTGCTTCCTTTAACTACTTGACATTACAGACAACATACAAATGGCCCATTCAGAAGGCATGTGTATATCACATGGGGAAGAACAATTTTCTGACATTTGTTAATAAACTGAAAAAAGAAATCGCTCAGGTATTGTTGAAGACAAGCTGGTAAACTTTCTAAGAGGGAAATTAGGAAAATTCTGCATGTATTTTTCAGGCTTGTATACTTGTACATGTTTTTAACATCTTTGACTTTCAAAAACTCAATGATGCCATTAATTTTATACAAAGAGAAAAAAAGGGGTCTGAAAACCGCTCCAAGGTATGCCCCTGTGAGCCCTAGTATATTTATCAGCTTTCTGTTGTAAATACTACATCAAAGACTGCGTTCATGATTGATATTTTGAAATGTAAAATAATTGTCATTGTGGATATATTTTTGAATTTACAAAAAATGTAATGCAATTTGAAATTTGAAACAGTTGATTGGTTGAATAAATTGTATGTTTGTTATATTAAATATTTTGTTATCTGATTCAATAAGTCTTGTGGTTGCTTCATCCCACCTCACTACTTCTAAACATGTTTTTCTTACCAAAGAAATCACAGTAAATGAAATGAAGGCTTACCGTTTTGTTTAATACACAAGACTTTTTTGTTGCAATTTGCACTAACCCAAAACTATTTCAATACACAGTACAAACACCTCTATTCTACTCTATTCCTCTTGCAAGAATTGAGTGATATTTCTGTGAGCAAAAACGTTGTTTCGTTTGTTATAAAGGAATAACCATTAGATTTTATGACTAACATGGTAACACCACTGAAAGGGGCCTGTTAGAATGAACAGAAAACCAAAGTTTGCCTTGTTTATGTAACAATATACAGTATACAAGGTTAGAGTTAGAGTAGTATAGAGCGCACCAAATTAGCCGGATTCTCAAATGAAATGGAATACATAGCTGGCCAACGTTAACACTCTCATTGCTTTATTGTTATAATATTTGCAGGTATAATGCAATGTGTAACACAAACCTAGCCCATGGACATGCAAGAGACGTGAAAAGAGGTTTAGACCTCTTTTTTCATAAGGCTTATGTAAAATACTTAATTACAGTTTGTCTCTGTGTAGCCTACCTTTGCAAATGACTTGGCAGAGTTTAAATCACACTTCATACAACTTGTGTAAATGAGATAATGGTAAAATCTTTTTTTCATTCTGATGAAAGGAATTTTTGACAGTTTTGAGAAGTTATCAATGGAGATCATTTTTAACATCCCGGCAACACGAGAACTTAAAGAAAGACTCCAGGGCCCAGTTGTTCGAAAGCCGGTTAGCGCTAACCCGGGGTTAATTTTTAACCCAGGTTTCTTTTTCTTTTTATCCAAAGCACACTATCAGATAATTTTCTCTATTCGTTTTCGAGTATCCAGTCATCAAATTGTACGCAAAGAGAATTAAACTGAATTTGCTTTTTAAGGTCTCATATCCGGGTTCAACTTTCGCACTAACCGTGGGTTACCTTAACCCAGCTTCGAACAACCCGGCCCAGCACATCTCTTCCAAGCAGAACAAAACAGCATCGTGAACTGAAGACTTTCACGTTGTCTCGGCTTAACTAAATACTACCAAAACATTATGAATCATCCGGTACAAAATTGTTTAGAGGCTTAAAGAGCCTTTTTTAGCTACTTACTACAAAATGACATTTTCTAATAGTCTTGCTATTCAACCACTAATCAGGATGTCTCTGTGGTTGTTAGTTGCGCTGAACAAGACCATTCTAACTCCTTTATAGTTTGCGGATGATGGACGATGTTGTTTCCCGTAAAAGTCTAGGGACGTAGATAGTGTAAAAACGGTAAAGAAGACAGGCGCATTTAACGTCTCACGACATTAAATAACGTCTTCTGTTAAGTGCGTCTTACGTAGAAAAACGGGACACTTTCACCGTATTTCCTCGAATAATAGCCGTCCCTCGATTAATCGCCCGCCATTGACGGAAATACTTAAAATAATCGCCCCTCTCGCCATCTTCTCTTCCTTTATCTCCTCCCTGTAAAGTTGAAGTACGATGTGATCCAGCAAAACTGATCAGTGACGATTCAAGCTCTGAAAATTAACAAGGGACTAAATTTGGAACAGTTAAAAAGCCCATGTTCAGTTTGATTGATGTGATTATTTTTTGGTTTAATGGGAAAATAAAACAAAATATTTAGGGCACGACTTCCAGTGAACAATACTTGAAATGATCGCCTCCCTCGAATATGCGCCTTCCCACGAATAATCGCCCCCTTTTTGTGCCAAAAAAGAAATAATCGCCCCTGGCTATTATTCGAGGAAATACGGTATGCCCAACTCGTCCAGAAATGACTGACAAAAAAGAGTTACATAGTGAACATTTTCACCGTTTTTCACCTATCCCTTAGTTAATTACCCACTATTCCTTTGCTTTGTTTTTCTATTTTTGCTTTGCTTATTTATCTTGGACATTTTTTTATTCACGAACTGCGTACTGGTGCGTACTAGGCCCGCGACCCCAACATAACACAATGCTAAACATATTATGCGGCTAAAAAATAAGTTTGAATTATCATCTACTTTAAATTATGCTTGATGCCGGTTTTCTCAATAAATTTAAACATAACGCATAACTGGGTAGGATTTATTGTTTACATTGGGAAAGAATTTGTCCTTTGAAAATATTTTGATACATTTTTAAGGATTGTAACACATGAAAGTGCGATAGAAAAGGTCTTTGAATACCGTAAAAACCCGCAACTAAGAACCTGCAATTTCCCAAGTTAGCCTAAACAGGTTCTTAAATATATGGTTTATGGCACAAATTTAGGCAATTCAGGTTCTTATTTATTTTTTGAAAAGACAAAAACAACCTTGTACCTAATAGTATTTAGTGGTATTCAGCTCATTCCTTAGGTAAAACCTGTATACCACATATAAGGCACCTTTAGTCTTCAAAGGGATACTGAATGTTGAGAATTTTTCTTTTTAGATTTTACAATACAAGAAGCTGTTTTAAGTTTTAGGCTAAACAGGTTCATGCATAGAGGGGCCTAACTGGCAAATTTTAGCCTAACAGGTTCTTACTCGCGGGTTTTTACTGTACTATGAAACAATGAAAGCAACATTCTAATAAAAGGAACGTCAAAGAAACATGGCACGAATCTATCTTTAACGTGGAAAATTACCGATAGCAAAATAACTTAATGGTTAATTGTTTTTCTATTCAGACGAACAATTCGCCAAGTAATTAAAGTGGAGATAATAAAAGGTAGGTCTTTTCGCTGAATCTTTGAGCCAGCATGTCTGCATAACTTTGTAAATGTCCTGCGGACACTTCTCTGGACAAGAGAGTCGACTTCCTCTTTCCAGAAAGGCATGAAGCTGTAAATGAATGTATATGAAGAAGGTTAGAGTTAATGGAGAACAAGGAACCACGATTGCGACATTAAACAAAATGTCACATGAGCGAATTCACGATTAAGCTACGAGCGAGGTCTCTAATTATGGCGAGCCAAGCGAGCCACGAGAGGGACGGAGAAACTCGCCCATCGCACTAGTTCGCGTCTCCTTTTGAGTGCGGCTCTCGCATGACTTCTCGCGACCACCCTAAATGGAGAGCTTGTTCGCAGGCTAATTAACGTTCCGTTCTGATTAACGTCTTAACAAAAGGGCTTTGTTCTGTTACCAGTTGTTCGATGGCTGGATAGGGCTATCTAATGGATGAAGGTTAGGAATAACAACTCTGATTTATCCACATGAGAAAAGTACTTCGTAAGGGAAAAAATAAAGAACAAAACAAACAAACAACAACAAAACTGCGCGGTTACGAAGGATTTTGCAGAAAGTTTGCATACTTTTTGCCAAAGGCTCAACTTTTCTCTTGAGGTATACGATTACATCTGGCCTGCGAGGAGAAGGTTAAGGTTATGACGATGAGCTAACACGCTCTATTCCGTCAATTTCGCTCACCTCTTCAGCTTTGATATCACTATAAGGGTCACCACCGTAAGAGAAGATCTCCCACATTGTTATACCAAAGCTCCAAACATCACTTTTGGTTGTGAACTTTTTTTCTGCCAGGCTTTCTAAAGCATACCTAAATTAAACAAAGAAAAACGGTGTTTAAAAGCTAGCGCATTCATTATGTGCTATGACGGCCATAGTTTCCATAAAGACGTGTTAATTTAGAATTGTAGTACAACGCTGCGCAGTGTAAATCGCGCATTCTCTAAACTGACCGAAAGGCAATGCATCAGACTTAGCCTTAGCCAATATGCTTTGTACAATCTGCCCGAATAATCAGGGCATGACCGCGGCAGTATGGTCCCGCCCCACTTGTTGCTAGCGAAGGATAGGCACCAAAGGAGCCTCAAAATCATGCATAGAACACACGAATCTGAGTTTGGCCGCCCACTTTGTTTGTAACACTGAATTGTTCGTTAGGGTTTGCACTCTTATCAGCTTTAAAAATTTCACAATTTTCCACGACTTTTTGGTGTTTTCCATGAGTTTGCCGCTCCATAAGTACGCAGATGTAGCAAAAGATAGATTCAAGATTCAAGAATCCAACACAAGCAATTTCTCAAACGAATGATTAAATACTACTCTAATCACGATGCTAGCTACCAAATGGAACTCTACATATTATCGTGTGGTGATGTCCATCCCAATCCTGGACACACTCATCGAAACGGCGCCAGTAATGCCAGTGACGACAACAACCCGCCATTACAAAGCCGGAAACAAGGAGCCAGGAAACTATCGGTATTTTACGCAAATGCCAGGCGTATCGTAAACAAAATTGCAAAATTACTAATGAAGATAGTGTACAATTATTTCGATGTCATTGTCCTGACAGAAACACGCTTCGATAGCTCCATTACAGACATCGAGATCTTTGGCAGGGAATATTGTATTTATAGGAAAGACTGGCAGCAAGAAGGTGGTGCTAATTGCCACCAAAGGATGTATTAAGGCTTCCCCGAGGGTAGACCTCGACTGCGAATCTGAATTTTTGTTTATCGATGTATCAACCACGAATAACAGGAAAATAACTATGGGAGTATTTTACCGGCCGCCCGATAGTAATCTCAAAGTTTTGCAAGACCTGCAAAATTCTCTCAGTAACATCACCACACACACGATATTAATCGGAGATTTTAATTTAAGTGAATTTGACTGGGCCAACAATCGATCGCTAAGGTGCTCGGAGCATCGTACACTACTCTTGGACATAATTCAGGACAACTTCTTGCATCAACTAGTGGACGAACCTACGAGGGATCAAAACATACTGGACCTTGTTTTGACTACCAACGCTGACTTGATAGACAATGTAGTGGTACGTGAACCCTTTTCTGATCACATTATCACCTTTCGAATACAGAATTAGAATCAGTTAACTCATGCAAGGAGCTGGGTGTTCATGTGTCAAGAGACTTATCCTGGTCGAACCACGTGGACGCAATTGTAAATAAAGCAAACAAAGTGGTGGGCCTACTAAAGCGTACAGTCGGTAGCAAGAACAGGGAAATTTTCTCTATGCTCTATAAGTCCTTGGTTAGACCAATCCAAGAATATGCATGCCCGGTATGGTCGCCCTATTTAGGTAAAGATAAGTTGGCAATCGAAAAAGTACAACGAAGAGCATCGAGGGAATCGCTCTCGGTCAAAAACTACGCCAGATGTCATAAGAAGAACGATGTATATTGCTAAACTGGAACACACTTCAGCATCGAAGAGAATACCTGTCTGTGGTGGAATGCTACAAGACAGTGTTTGGTCTAAATGGCCTAGACTTTGATGACTATTTCGAGTTTTGTAGAAGTAAAAACACTAGAGCCAACCATCCATACAAAATACAAACTAAATTAGGTAACGTTAACTCTCTTTTAAAGTACTCCTTCTTCGTGAGACTGGAACAGTTTGCCAAACTATCTCTTCACGGACGAAATTAAAGGGACAGTGTCCCGATTATGCGCGCGCGCGAGCGTCATCTGTTTTTTCTTCAAAAGACAATAGAACTGTCATATTGACTCGACAAGATTTCCTCCCGGACCGCACCGCCGACAGAGATTTGTTGTTTATATTCTCAAGTAATATTTTAGACTTTCAAAGAAGTCTTTCGTCTTATATAAAAATTTGGCTCGCGGTTCGAAGACTTATCGCGATTTTATCGCTAGCTGGGCCGCCTCGCGACCCGAAAATCTCGTTCCGCTCGCTTTAAAATTTGAAACTCGTGTCAGAGGTCAGTTGTTCCAAGTCTAGTAATATCTGCCTGATTTGCTCGCGTTCTAGCCTCAAACGTTTGAAAGACATAAATAAAAATGCTATCTCAACGCTATGAATCATCAGAAAGGTTAGTCAAAACTTATATTATGATTTCATGGCACTAGTTTTTCTAAACATGTAGCGCCTGTTTGTTTGATTTTGTCGGCCGTTAGGGAGATTCATTTAAAAAAGTTTACTAACGCGTCGTTGCAAAACATTTTGCTTTACGAAGCTCCCCTTCACAAGATCTCCTCAGTCACATCAATGTCTCAATGGTTTCTTTCTTACAGTCTTTATTGTTGCCGTTTCATTTCTGCGTATTCCTTTCACAATTATCCGAGCTTGTATGGAAGCTAGCACAAGAAATAAGCCTTCAATCGGCATCAAAGTGCTTCCAGTCTTTTGGTCCTCCGGCCAACGACAATAAAAGTAACGCCAAAAAAATCCAGATTTTGCCCAAACCGAAACTTAACAGGAACAATATATCATTGATCTGTAATCCTGAGAAGTTTTAGTGTCGTATTGAACCCGGTCAAGCGCGATGCAAACGGATTTTTCAAGGTTCTCTTACTCTCCTCGCATCTTTTGATTTCGCGACATCCTGTCCAAAAATCAAAGTTTGGTACATGCGCAGTAACGGGATACTGTTCCTTTAACGTTAACAAATCTAAAAACGGCTTAAAAAGATGGATGAAGATTTATTGACAAAGAAGCTCATATTTTAATTGTATATATTTTCAATTTAAATATCATTCTTACTATACCATTTTGTACCTGCACCAATGATTTGTACACGCGTTTTGTATAATTTTTTAATATTTTTAAAGTTCAGTTAGGCGACCTTTTATAGGGATAACCTCGCGGTCCACCTTTATCATGTTTATAAGCTTATATGTACTTGAATAAAGTATTATTAATTAATTAACAATATACACACATAAAAAAATTTCTCGATTGTGATTGGCTAAGAGAAATGCAGTTTTTAGGTAACACGGTGCAGAAAAAAGGTAATTGAGTACAGAAAAGAGTAACAATCGTGACTTTTTGATAGGTTAATAAACAAAGGAACTCACTGAGAGCCAATCAAATGCGCCATCAAAATGGCGCAAAATTTGGATCCGCTCCAGACCAGTTTCGAGCAAAAACCGCAACGGTTGGCGTTTGTAGCACATTTGCTTTTGCGACCGAAAAAACTATAGAGGAGCTAAAAAACTGCTCTAAAAGCGAAAACACTGCGAAAAGCACTGGTTTTTGGCTCTCTGTTTGGAAGAATTGGTGCGTAGAGAAGGAAATTACTGATGAAATAAAAAATTATGAGCCGGCTGCACTTTGCTCGAGCAATTCTACGCCGAAGTAAACAATAACAAGACACTATGGAGCGTACACTTCGGCGTCGTGGTTGCGGAACAGATTAATTGTAAATGCGGAGGAATAGTAAGAAATGAAATATGGTAAGAGTAAGGTGTTAATTTGTGAAATTATGGGATATGTCAGGATATTCTGAAAAGAGCAACATCCAAGAGGCCTACTTGTCAAAAACTAGCATTTCAGGACAAATTGTCTCTTAGATATTAGCCCAATTATGCTCTGATGACTCCATACAAATCCTTCTAAATTTGACTTGGGTCTAACCGTTTAGACCTAAGTCAAATATGAGGTTACTGGCCTTAAATAACAAGTCTAACAAAACAAACAGTGAAAATAGAATACTCTATTTTTCTTAGTCACATCAGGCTTCAAAAACAGCATAGCAGTCTCGTGTACTGATTAAAGATATGTAAGGTATGGGTAAGGAGTCAATAATGTTGCGCATGGAATGGGCTAAACCTCAATGTTACGAGTTCGAAGGTTTTGAGGATAATTATTCACTGACGATAAAGGAACATAGTCTTTGCAGAGCTCAGTTTAAAACACAGCATCCGCCAACAAAAACTTGACTTGAACTTAAGTAAAACTAAACAGCTTCTGTCAATAATAACAAACTCTCACTTGAACTTCAGATATCTTACGGCTTCCACGAACTTGTAAACACAGAACTTGAAAATCGACCTTCGTCACACATGACTAAACACAGCACTCCAGCTCGTGGGAAAAAAACTTAGTTCGTCAAATTCATGATAATCCAAAAACGTAGAGAACGTTCGAGAAAGTCACGCAACGCATGAAAGCAATTTTACTACGTAACACTCAACAACGACAAAACGTCTTTGTGCAGCATTTTGAAACTTTAAATTCATCATAAGAGAGTTCGAAAGGAGCGCTCAGACTCGTGAAATGTTTTTCAACACTCGAAGAGAAATTTCCTGTCTCTGTGCGGCCACGTAATATCCTCTATTTATTCCTCGAGTAAATTAAAAACTAACTCGAAGTGATCTGAAGATATCACAAAGTAGTCCGGTTTCATTTCGTGAAACAGCAGAAACAAGCCGAATAGTTACGAACTTGCGCGCCCAATCTTGTCCCGAAACTAGTGCATCATACACCGTATTCACAAGTGGCGGACACGCGGGAAAAAACTGGTGCCTAGTCATGAAAGCGAGGCGTTGGAGGATAAACAAAAATTGCAAATGAAGACTTTTAGTGAACTTGCAGAGTGTTAAGCGCGGATTCCACCTAAAACAATTATGTACGGACTTCTTTTTAAATCCAATTACGTGAGATGTCTTCTGCTTTAATGTTTAGTAGTGATTTGCTGTTTGCAATCAAAACGGACGCGTATATCTTCAAGGAAACAGGATGATTTTGTAGGTTTCCGAAGAATCAGAAGCTCGAGAAGTGGACGATCGCCGGAGAAAAGCGGCAAACATGTTGGCCCAAACTTCACATTGAAACCGAGTACGAACGCTAGCTCACTGCAATTCGGTGAAACGGAAATATAAACAAATCTTGGTGGCAAGAAAAAAAGAAATAAGCCACAGATATATGGCCTACTCGTTAACGCAAGAGACGTCTGCCGTTGAACAGAAACACAGGGAGTTCAAGTCGAGATGGAAAAAAGGAAGACAGGAAAGAAGAGGTGACGGAGGTTTCGATGAACTTATGTTTGGTTTTTGTTTGCCAGGACGTTATTCTCTGGTCTTTATTGATAAAGGACATCAATTAGAACTATTTTTTTAGTATAAATGCAGGAGCGATCGAGTGGAGTACGCCAAAATTTCAACATGTTACTCGGCAGATTCGGTAAGCCGGCCACATATCATTTCAGCGAGAAATTTCGTATTTCTTATCTTTGGCTGTTAAGAGTTTTAACTTAATGTTTCATAATATTTTAAAGTTGAAGAATACATAAATAAATAAAATGATGGTCTTCTTAAACGGATCCACACTCGAATTTGATTATTCGAAACAAAAGCTTGCCGTGTTCATTCCTTTGACCTAGTAAAATGTAAGCTTTATACTACTTTTTTACCAAGAGCTCTCTGAGAAAATGCCCTAAAGGAGACCAGGCAAATAGCAAGCCATAAGATTCACACAGTACAGCTTCTAATTTTAATAAAATTATTTTTAATTATTTCGCAATGACAAAGAAATCATGAGATTTTTACTAAGCTCTGCCAACGTACCTCAGAAACAATTCACTCCAAATTAATATGATCCAAAGGAAGTTGTAAATGCAGACATAGATATATACATAGATATGTATAAAATGACACTGACATGAATAAATTAGCCTTGTGAATGAATCTTTCACCCGCTCTCGACTTGACCTGTTTTGTGTAATGGCGGAGGTCTCTTCCGTTAACAAGTAGGCCATATATCCGTCGCTTATTTCTCTTTTTCTCGCCACCAATATCCGTTTTTAATCCGTTTTACAGAATTGCAGTGATCTGGCTTTCGTACTCGGTTTCAATGTGAAGTTTGGGTCAACATTTTGCCGCTTTTTTCCAGCCATAGCCCACTTGTCGAGCTTCTGATGCTTCGGAAACCTACAAAATCATCCTGTTTCCTTGAAGATATACGCGTCTCTTTTCAATGCAAACAGAAAATCACTACTAAACATTAAAGGCAGAAGACATCCCACGTAATTGTATTTAAAAAGAAGTCCGTACAAAGTTATTTTAGGTGGAATCCGCGCTTAACACTCTGCAAGTTCACTGAAAGTCTTCATTTGCAATTTTTCTTTATCCTCCAACGCCTCGCTTTCATGACTAGGCACCAGTTTTTTCCCGCGTGTCCGCCATTTGTGAATACGGTGTATTTCATAACTATTTTTCATATCCCGAACTACGTCGCAGTAGCGCAATCGGCTAATCCCTCAACTTAGAGTCTCCTCTGATCTGACGGGTCACACAGGTGAGTCGGTTCAAACACCGGGAGAGCCAAAATAACAATTCTTTCTTCCTCGAAAAAGTTAAAGAAGAAATCAAAGAAATCGAAGTGATCTCGAGATATCTCGAACTTATTCGGCTCTCACTTCGTCAAATAGCCGAATAAAACTGAAAATCTACAGACTTTGCGTGCCCAAACTTGTCCCAAAGATGTCAACTTTGATACATTTCTGAGCGTCGCGAATCCTTCACTTCGCGCTCCGCTGAAGTAAAAATGCTGAAGATTATGAACCAGAACGCCTTAAAGTAATGATGGCATCGCTTGATCCATTGTACGTTACCGAGAATTTAGTTCGTCCAAAGAGGTGTTGGAGGACAAAGCGAAACAGCTTCGCTTGGCTGGCCGCGGTAAGCGCCCAAACAAAGCTCGGCCAGTATCAGAGGAGAAAGAAAAACTTCTCTGGAAGAGCGGAAAACTCGGAGGTAATAATCCAGAACCTTTAATTCAAACAGATTGAACAATTCCATGAACTGTTCAGCTCGTTTCTGCGACTTGCAAATTTTAAAAACATCAAGAAAAATGTTGTTTTGACTGAACGTGTGATGATATTTGCAGCATTTGAATAAATTATTTTTGCCGTAGATTACGCGTGTTGACTCTCTATCAATGTGATTTTAAAGCTATCTCGGCATTTTTTCATGAATATTATTAATAAGTAATCACATGATTTTTCTCGTTCAATTTGGAATAAATAAGCACTCGTAAATTTTTTCAAAGATCATAAATTGTTTAGCCTTCGAAAAAATTTACTCGTGCTTATTTATTCCAAATTGCACTCGAAATCATGTGATTGTGAAGAGAGCACGCAAGCGTCTCTACGTTTTGCGTGTCTCAATGAAATCAGGCCTCCCACCAGCTGATCTCATTCAGGTTTATTGTAGCCTTGCGCGGCCCATTTTAGAATATGCATCTCCGGTGTGGGCAGCGTTACCCAACTGTCTGGTTCAATTGGTGGAAAGCGTGCAGAAGTCTGCAGTAGAAATCATTTTTCCAGATTGCTCTTATGAGTCGGCACTCGTGCGCTGTGGCTTGCCTACACTGTTGTCGCGCCGCGATGAGGCTTGTAGGCGTTTTATATCTAACATCAAGGAGTCCGGGTTCCTTTCACACCTGCTGCAGCAGCCCACGAATGTCGCTAATGGGTACGGGTTGAGGTCGGGTTTTTCCAGTTCTGATTTCCGCTTTGTCAGAACGGACCGCCTTAGTAATTTTGTTACCCACAGTTACAATAGGATTTAATTGTTTTTGCCTTATTGCCATGTGTAATTATGTGGTCTGCGTATTCTTGACCTCCCTTGTAATTTAGTGTTATACACTACCAAAGGGTTTTAATAAACTGATTATGTTATTACCTGTACTAATTAAAAAAAACAGCGACAAGTCAAATAAGAATACAAAAGCGTGCGGAATAGGCCAATTTTGAATCGGTAAAATTTATAATCTTGGCTTCGAAGCAGAGGTGTATAGAACATCTTCAGGATCCACTGAGGACCGAGCGCTTTCCGGTAAGGGCGGCCATCTTGCTTTCAAATGTACCGAGGGGGCGGGCATCGGGGTTTATACTAAGCAGATTTGACACTAATCCCCGGGTTAGACTCGGAACATTAGAAACCAAGATGGCCGTCCGTACTTACCACTTCAAAGGCAGTAAGCGATCTTCAATGTTTTGAAGTTTGTAGTAGTCTTGCAGCCTTGACAACCCAAAATCACTGATCTTCACAAGATCCTCGCTCATCACCAGAATATTTCTCGCTGCCAGATCTCTGTGCAGAAGTGAATTTTTTTCCTACGCATAAAATGCTTATGTTACCAAGACAAATACTCTGAGTTACGGTGGCTCGACCCAGCATTTTTGAAGGTACACCTTACATCGATATCTTTAAATCTCTTAGACTTAAAAACAAATTTATCTTTATTGTAAAACCATTATAACACGTGTATTACACATAGACTAAACTTCATTATGATATTATGTTTTGGGCGATCAGAATAAATATCACGTGAAAATGACGTCACAAACGTTTCAGCTCTAAATTGAATTGCAGCCTTTATCGGCATTTTCTTTAGAAATGCTTGACGCTATCTATACTTTAGGTACTTGTCTTCTGTTGTGCGAAGTCTTTAAGAGGAATTTCGAGATATCTTGGAATTTCTACCAAAAGGGCATAAATTAGCACGAACTGAAGACTGGACTTAATGCAGAAAAAAATCGCTACTTTTTGGATGTTTCCGAAACGTTTTTGTCTCTCATTCGTTTTGTAAATGACCCTCGTACACTCTACAACCGGCTAACATCCAAAAAGTAGCAAATTTTTTCTCTTGCATTATTTATGCCCTTTTTATAGAAATTCCAAGATATCTCCAAATTCCTCTAATACCGTAAAATTCCGAAAATAAGCCCCTCCATGTATAAGCCCCTCCAAATAAAAGCCCCCCAAAGCGGTAAAGCAAAAAACCCTCCCTTAAATCGCCCTTCCAAATAAAAGCCCCCCTGTGGCTTGTACTTGGAAGATTGCCCTCAAATACAAAGTAAAACAAAGCAACTATAAGGCAAGCTAAATCGATTTTGAAACTCAAATTCCACTCCGTAGATAAGCCCCTCCAAAAAAAAGCCACTCAAAAAGGGCCTTTGAAAAATATAAGCCTCGGGGCTTATTTTCGGAGTTTTACAGTAGGTTTTTAGGAAACTTCGCACAACAGAAGGCAAGCACCCGAAGTATAGATAGCGTCAAGCATTTGTAAAGAAAATGCCGATAAGGGCTGCAATTCAATTTAGAGCTAGAACTATTGTGACGGCATTCTCACGTTATATTTATTCCGATCGTCCCCCAAAAAATATCATAATAAAGTTCACACAGTAATTTTTAGGGAGTTATTATAACTCCAAAAATTAGGTAAAAATTTTAGGTACAGGATAACCCCTTTTTGGGGGTTACTTTAACTCCAAATTTACCTCCAAATTTGGGGTTATTTTTACTCCTGAAAAAGAGTTCTTTTTACTCCCAGTCTGGAGCTAAAATAACTCCCAAAATGGGGTTATTTTCACTCCTTACGTGGGTTGTTTTTACTATTTTTGGAGTTACTTTAACTCTAAAAGTGGAGTAAACATTTTAGGTACAGGATAACTCCTTTTTGGGGGGTTATTTTAACTCCTGAAAAAGAGTTCTTTAAACTCCTTTTTGGAGTTAAAATAACTCCCTAAAAAATAAGTCCATTGTAAGGAGTTAAATTAACCCCACTAGAGGGGTTATTACTCCTTGAAAATTACTGTGCAGTCTATGTGTATAATGGTTTTACAATAAAGATAAATTTGTTTAAGTCTAAGAGATTCAAAGATGGAAGGTGTACCTAAAAAAATACTGGGTCGAGCCTCCTTAAATATAAACACGGGTAGGGAACTAGTATGGGTATCACTATACTTAAATTTATATCAGTATTAGATCCAGTTCAAACGTCGAACTTTTCGTATTCCGAACTTAATGATAATAATAAAACTTTAATGGCTGTCACAATAACTGATAGACCCATTAGTTTACATTGTGGGCCCAGATTTGGTAAGATTTAAGTTCGAAGGTTGATTCAGACGTCGAACTTAATTAGTGCGACTCGATTCATTTTTACGATGTACAATGGTCTGCAATGCTTACCAGTGAAAATAAATTATGGTAATGTATGCATTAGGCTCAGCAAAGTTCGACGTTTGAAATTAAGTCACTCCACAGTCGCAATTCCCATGTGGACATCTCGACCTTGATTCATGGGTCGACCCAAATTAAGTCGTTGATTCAAACGTCGGTTAGGATTAGGTTTGCCGCAGGAACATTTCGATGTTTGAACTGGGCCTTAGCATGTGGCAACACGTGCTAATCACTAATGTTTTCTTCTACCCTCTCGTGTTCTCAGACGGCCATCGTATTCAATGCTGAAATAATACTTTCCATGGGTACGATTTATATTTGAGTGAACTAAAAAAATCCAGTCGTACCAAGTACTGCATTCCTTCGCAGATCTGCTTACAGAATTCCAGAAGTTGCCTTTTTCCGAGAATGTCCTAAAAGGTAAAAGATAGTCTTTTTAAAAACCAGTAGAAGACACGAAAAGACAAACGAAAGACTTTAAGGAAAGCGATCTTTAAGGAAAAAAAGATCAATTAAATGAAAAAAAACAAAAAACGACAACAACAACAACGACTTCTTTTCACGAGGTCTCTTAGACTTACAAAATCATTATATGTTTTTAATTTTAGCTATAAAATGACGTATTCCCCCCCCCCCACCCCGCCAATAATGAAAAAAAACAAAAAACGACAACAACAACAACGACTTCTTTTCACGAGGTCTCTTTGACTTACAAAATCATTGTATGTTTTTAATTTTAGCTATAAAATGACGTATTCCCCCCCCCCCACCCCGCCAAAGAAATCCTAATATTTTCGTTACCGCATTGTTCAGATTTCGTGACAAAGTTCGATTGACTCGTAAAGCTTGGAGAGAGAGAGCGCCAAGAAACGAGCATAGCCCCCACCACCCCACATAACCTGTAAACTAATTTAAGTGTCAAGCCAATAAGGTTTCTTAGCTATACAGGGTTTGCTCAGCCTGACGTAAAAAAATACATTGTGATGACATTCTCAGGAGGATCAAGCGTAACATCGAAAGATCAGGACTTCGAACAACTGTCGTAAGAACAAGAAACGGAGTGTTGGAAAGAGAAGTGTAACATAAAGATGGAAGAAATGCCCTTGCCCTTTTAAAGAATAAAGGGCCTCACGTCAATTTAGACAATCCACCACGGATGCTTTATCTCAAGGTCACCTTAAAACAATTTTCACTTGTAGTAAAACCGAAAGGGCTATGTATTTAATACATTTTGGCGGATAATCCAAGAAGAAATTACTGTATTTGCCCCAGTGATTTGACGTCATTCTTCAGGACGACCAATTACCGCTAATTATGGTAAATAATCGGGAAAGTTATTGTTACGTCATTGGGGGGTTACTTATAAGATCAACAAACATGGTTTTCCACGGCGTCATCGACGGTAGTTTAAAGGTGTATATACTATATGCATTGAACGATAAGCAGCACAAACCTCAGTAATTAACAGAAAAGCTTGGTGTTTCATTAGCGACATTCTTTAAAATTAAGAAGGACGGTTTTGAAAGCTTAAAGACGGAAAAGATGAGAGTGAGACCTGGACGACCTCTTATGATCGATACCAGAATGGAAAGATTATTAATCCGACAAGTCAAAATCCTTCGTCGCGAAAACCCAAACTTCACTTGAGGTAAACTGGTTGAGGCGTGCGGATTGTATACAGGTCAAGTAAGTAATGGAACGATGCTGCGCGTTGGTACAGACAGGGGCGTAAAAAGAGGGTTCTTTCCTCGAACGATATTGTATGCAGATATCGCTTTGCTAAAACGATTCGCAAAGAAAGATCGAGAGACGTGTGGACTTCCAAAGTAAAATTTTTACTTAGACGGACTGGGTTTCTATGACAAAAGAAACCCTGCGGGTCAGGTAAAAGCCCCACAAGGTCGAATATGGAGGACTAAAAAGGAGGGTCTGGCTGAGGGATGCACGGCGAAGGGGAAGAAAGGGGGCAGTGGTGGAAGAGTTCTTAAGCTTTTTGTGGCTATCAGCTACAACAAAGGGGTTATAGCTTGCCATCCATACGAAAAGCTAGATGGACAGTTTTTTGAAAATTTTGTTAAAGCCAATTTTGCTAGTTTCTTTAGAAAAGCAGACAAAGGGCCCTCCCGCCTTTGGCTTCAAGACGGTGATCCGAGCCAGAACACCGCGGGAGTGAAGAAGGCTTTAGAAAACTTATAGCAGAATTGTTATCCATCCCTCTAAGAAGTCCAGATTTAAATCCTATGGAGAATTTGTTTAATTCAGTAAGAAGCGACCTAAGCCAACAAGTTTTGAGTCAAAATATTACTCGTGAAAGCTACGACGAATTCCAAAGCCGTGTAATAACTACCGTTTTGAACTGACCTGCCCAATCGATTGATAAAATTATTGACTCGATGAATGGTTAGATAGATTTAAGCATTAAAAAGAAAGGAAACAGAATAAAGCAGTAAGCAGTTGTGAGCAGAAATGCCTACAATGGTTGACAATCACTACTTGTAAATAGAAGATAAAAGGAATTACAGTCTTATACAGTACAAAGCTGACGTCACTTCCGTTTGTCTACAACGTTAGTTCCGGTTTGTAAACCATGTACTTTAGTGTTCATTTTGAGGGCGATTCTTAGGCTAAAACATTCCGTCAACCAAGGGAATTATGTGTCCTGGATATAGTACACAATAATCTGGACAAACAGAGCACATTGTTCTTAAAATGGCGATTTCCAAACGGTTTACAACGATTTACTAGCGGTCTTTGAGGAATAATCGAGTGACAGTCTCATATTTCAATGTTTTAGATGTAAACCGTTGTATAGGACGTAAAATGTGCTGTTCTTTTCATTCTGACAAGACCTCTGTAATGATAAATTGTTGTTAAACGTTGGAAATAGTGAAATATATAGGAAGAAATCTTTTCCAACAACAGCATATGCTCAGATTGTTGTAAACCGTTGTGCGACATGACGGCACGCATGGAAATTATTTTTCGAAACCGCAAGTAAATAGACAGACCGCACTTGGTTCACCGGCAACTGAAGCCGTGTCTCACTGGCAGAACAATCCGTGTCAGTGTCGTTCTCTGTTTCTGACGTATCGTAATTGCGTATCGAGTCCATAACAGCGTCTAAAGAGCAATGAACATTATAATTCTGTGACCGTGACAAGTACGCCTTGTTCTCACTGTAACGTCAGTCTTGTATGCTCACTCTGCCCCGGAGCATTTACAACCCTGAGAGCGGGCCAAACAGAAATCAACATTCAACTTTGCATTCAAAAAAATGTTATCTTTATTCTATTCCCGCGAAAAAAACACTTTCTTTTCACTTCAAATGTTCACTGTGGCGCATAGCGTTCAATATCGCGAAAATACAATCTTGGACAAAAATGTTAAGAAAAATGCACGTTGTATGTTTAATTTTAGAATACTTCCCCCTAAAGCCCGGTTCACTCAAGATCCTCCCCCCTCCCCCCCAAAAAAAACAATGTTGAAGTGTGGCCCGAACATTTTTGCTGCCTACTAAACAACATTGACCAGGGAGGGGTGGGGGGAGGGATCACCATGGTGCCAAATTCGCAGGGTAGGTCTCCTGTCTGTTGGAAAGAGCAAACTTCTTAACACTTTTTGTCCAAGATTGTAGGCCAAAACCAATTTACTGGTGATTAAGAGGTAAATATTGACATCCACGATGTACTTTCTTGTAAGTAAAAAACGCACCATTCTTTTAAGGCAATTGAGTTCAAGTCAAAAATTGAAGAATGCCAAAGTACAGGGGTAAAACGAAGTTTCACATTGATTGAACTGTATTAAAGGAGCTGTGTCACAAAATTCAGCCAAATTAGGTAATTACAAAATAATGCCCGTTAAATTAAGAGAAACATAAAAATAACCGCTTAAAACATTAAAGAAAGGTTAAAATAACACAACAGAAACAACAGATGCCACGGATGGGCAAAACCGAAGAAGATTGAAACGGACTGAAATTATGGTTTTTTGAAAACTGTTCAGCGTAACAGTTTTTCAAAGTTGATTCGTGTTGCTTGCAACTTCAAAAATAATGCTCAGGAGACACATTTGTTTGTCTTGGATCTCTGATTTTGTCATTTACATGTAATTTCATTGCTTACTTTAAGTTCCATAGCGATTGAGGGCGGTTAATTGGCAAAATTAAACAAAGTGAACTGGACTGTCGTGACACAGCCCCTTTAACTTATCTTTATCATTCATCATTAGTTGTTCTATCATTGTGTCGTACTTATGTAATATTTTATAATTTAATACTTCCTGCGCCACCGCAACTAAAATTTCGAAAAAAGTATTCATTTTATTTGGTTAATAAGCTTACAAGCCAATAAGTATTACCTTGTTTTTCGGCAAATAATCGCGGAGAGCACCTTGAGAAGCAAGCTCAGTTATCAGCATAAGTCTTTCATCCGCATCTACCATAAGTCAACACATGTTATTAACGCTGAGGTATGAAAGTACAAAAATCAGTGTAGGCAGTGGTCAAAACGGTCGGACTCCCATTTATGACCCTCTGGTGCAATTTACAATCTGCAATGTGTAGTTTCTTTTCTTTTTCTTCTGGTGCTTTAGTTTTTCCTACTCCTCAAAAGCCAATAGTCAAATTCCCTTTCCATGAGGAGCGCGGGAACTTACCGACGCAGTTCGTAGGTTAACAAATTGCGAAAGATTACGTCAAAGATGTCCTAAAATAGGGAAGCACACATTTTTGCACCAATGACTGCTCTCACTTGCATAAAGGCACCATCAATGAATACTTTTATCATAAAAACGGGAGCAACATTTATGACCAAAAACTGCAAGTTTATCTTTACAAATATAAAATTTAAAACAAGCACTTTAATACCTTTGCATACCCCACGAAGTTTTATGATGTATTTGCATTGCGGTTTAGACGCTAACTCAACCATGTTTTCTACTTCTTTAACAAAGTCACTGGAACTCTGTTTCGACGCATTCCGTTTTAGCACTTTTACTGCCACGTCTTCTCTCTAAAATGAAAACAACAGACTTCTTGAAGGTTCAGGGAGAGTAGATGTGGATGACATGACACTGAACTATAGGAGCGCTGGACGTCCACTTGTTTACACTTTCCTTCCTCTTTATGGTGTTTCGATACAGTTTTTCAGAGGTCATACCGATATTTTTCAATCACCTTAAAAATGGTTTTTTCTTTGTCCGATCGCTATAAAATTTTCATCAATAAAAACGTTATAGATGACTCAAATGTTTCTTTTGTAGCATCAGAATGCTGCTTAATATCATATTTTGATGCTAAGAAATTTTGGTGTACTTTCGTTCATGCGATCTTGAAAATTAACCCGTTTTCTCATAGTACAACTTCATTCAGAATTTGGACTCTTAGCGCTTTCTTGTATATCTCCGAAACGACTCGAACGAATTTTTTTTAAAATCTCTTCACATAATCTTCATAATGTATATAAAAAATTCTGAAACTTTCATTAAGATTGATTCACTGCAACACCTTAAAGTTTCAAGGCAAACCTATCCTACGAACCGGTCTTGACGTTCTGCTAATTTTTCCAAATTAATGCCGACAATACATATATCCATGACTAGTACATTTCAATGTGAGTATTGTCAATGTTTTACATTCAAAAGATGCGATAAATTCAATTTATAACGTTTTTATTAAATAACCTATCAAGGCTATTGAAAATTTAAGGTTTGAAATATATTTTCGTTTTAGTCGAATTCAAACATACAGGATTTTTTACTTCTTACGGAGATTGTTTCCTAAACACCAAACTTAAGTTCAAAGTGTTGGATTTTCAGTAGCAGGTCTAGATCACACAAAATTCGGCTTTCATCAATTTCAAAGTTTTTGTTTATTGTTGTTATAGTAATATCGATTTTACTTTAAAAACTACATTTTCACAAATTTCAATCCAAAGCCAATTTCTGATGAAAATTTTATAGCGACCGGACAAAGAAAAAACAATTTTTAAGGTGATTGAAAAATTTCGGTATGGCCTCTGAAAAACTGTATCCAAACACCTTAAAAGCTTGATACACACTTACGACGTAAGCATGAAAGCGAGGTCTATGGGCTACATCGCAATCAAATTGTATATAAAATGGCAGAAGCGCACCTTAAAAACTACGACAAAAAATAGTTCTCACAAATGCTGCGCTGCTGCGCTACTGCGCTTTGTAATAATCGTTCCGATAATATAAGACTTGACGTTTTTATGTTTTTCCGAAGGATCCTTGCCGAGGGTTAGTTTCCCCACCGTCCACTTTCCAACGCACGTTCATTTAAAACAACTGCTCCAGGAATATCTTTTGGTGTTAATTTTTTAATCTCTAAATCACAAATCGTTCTTGTTTTCACCACCCAATTTACTTTTTTGAAGTTTGCGGGAAATCTGGTGGGTTTTAGGCCTCGCTTTCATGCTTACGTCAAAAGTGTGTATGCATAAGTGGATGAGGATCTTTTTAAAGCTATTTATACCTTCACCATTTTAAAAACATCAGGATAACGAGTTCCAAAGTCTAGCCGCTCTTAAGCTTCCCATTTAGCTTTTTTTCTTAAAGCAAGGCCAGAACAAGTTTAAGGACCTATGTTGGCTATTTCTGTCACTCACGTCTGAGTTCTTCATGTAGGATGGCCAGTGACCATTGATAAGTTTATACAAATGGATAGCCTTATCTATTGTAATCATCATCATCATGATTTTTGTTCTAACCTTAGGATTTTTCCACTTGTCCGTGTACACCATACGTGCGTGCCTCACTTCTCCAAATTGTCCCTGCGAAATGTGTTCAAAACCTTACATGTCTGTCATACAAGCAGGCCTACAGTTTTATCCCGAAATTCATCTACTTCTAAGGATTAAAACGAAAATCAGTAGATCTACAGTCAACTTTTGAACCCGTTAAAAAATAAAGGCCTCTATGACCCAACTCGTGAATCTATGAAAGATTTTAATTATGTTTTTGAAAGATGGCACTTTACAGGTTGGTGGGTGGGAGGGAGAGAAGGAAATTCCACTTAATTTGGGATAGCAATGTCCCGCAAAGGTTCTTAAGGAAAAATGTTGATTATAATAGCACTTTAAGGTGTGGGTCTCATGTCATTTAGCCGTTTAATGAGATAAACTGTTTTGATTCAGCTAGTTAGGGAGTTTGCAACGTCAAACCTTACATCGTACACTTTTAGGTCAAACAACTTGTTTGGGGTTAAATATGACACGTTGCTAAGGATTCAGGGTCAGCTTTTAGTCAATATTGTTTTCCAAAATGCTAAATGAAATAATTACACAAATATCTTACCCGGCCAAGATGGCTTAACAACTGCAGTTGTTCAAATGGAATTTTCAAGTGAGGAGGAATCTTGCTCATATCTAGTTTTACGACTGGCGTTTCTTCACATGGAGATGATGAGCCTAGTGTCAAGATTAAATAAAACATACATCAGCATTAATGACATAAATAAATTTTACTCCAATATCCTAACATCGAAGAGTGGGTGGATAAAAAGGGTCGCTGAAGAGTCGTTTCGAGGTGTCTTGATACCTAGCGAAATAAAATTATTTTTCTAGTGTTGAATATACTGTTATGTTTTAACAGTATTCATGTTCCATAAGTAACACATCCTTAAGCATTAAGGGGAAGCTGGAAAGGGAGAGTTCCTGGTCACATACTCGCACAGGACAAGTTCCAGAGAGAAATACTGGTCAAAATGTTTTAAGAGTGAAATATTAAACGGAGTCAAGTGCATACCAGTTGTAGATTTTCTCCTAACAATTTTGTCCACCGTTTCACAGCTGGGCCAGACTCCATCAGAGGATGAGGAGCAGTCAAGAGAGGTTTCTGGTTCTGGTTCTGGTTCTGCAGGCCGAGGAAGTGGACGATATCCACGGGCCACTAATCGTCTGTTGTTAGCGCGCTTTGGCTCACTTGGAACCCCTGGTAAAGGCCGCGTAATTTCTGTGAAAATAAGTCCCAGCGAAAAATGTAATAATCAGAAGTGGTTTTCGGCTGACAGGGAGAAGGTACGTTTCGCTTAAAAGCTGTCCACATCTTCCTGATGGGCGCGTTTATTCAAGGTGGTTGTTCTAGCACAGGGAACTGGACTACTACTCACAATTTTTTATCCACTGCTCCATCAGTTGAGCTTACAACGATTGGTACGATTAAATGCTTTGTGACTTACTCCCTAAAAACATTCGATTTATATAGAAAGTCTATGAAAGTTTTCCTGTTGCGGAAATAAATTTTATAGTTTTACCTTGAAGACGTCCATGCTCATCAGCTTTGAAGGAATAAGGAGAAGGATTGGGCAGCACGTTTTCTTCGATAACTCCGTCACCTTCCTGATCATTGTCTTGAGACAAACCACCTTCACTGAAAGCATCATCAAGTTGATTTGAACTTATTGCTTGGCTTTGGGACTGGTTATCTTTGAAAAAAAGTAGTTCGGTTGATTTTGGGCCCTCCTTTGAAAGGTTATTCAAGGGGAACACCTTCATTTCAAAATTCTCGTGCCCGTCTTCAATCATCAAGATGGTAGAATTTGGGAAATCAACCTTACCCGACGGAAACCTCACAGGCCCACATGGCAGGATCATCTCATTGTCCACGCCGTCATGAGCTTCAACCTGTTCATCGACATCCAAAGCATCTGCACTGTTTTCCAGGACAGACGTACCACATTCAGACGTGGCTATGGTAGAAGCAACGCTATCGGGTTTGATATTGGACAACAACTCATCGAAACAAGGAATATCGGAAATGGGTAGACTCTCTTCTGGCAAGTAGTTTCTAGACTCATGATCGTCCATATCTACTTCTTCCCTGCCAGCGAGGCTCATGAACAATGAGGTTTCATTAACATCTATTTGCGAAGGTGTTACTTCATTCTGATGTGACTGTGAGTCATCTTCCAGTACCAATTCCTGTTCCTCTGCTGGGTCAAGGCCAAATCCGAGATGGGTAAATGCAGGCAGAGAGAGGTTTAATGCACTTTCACCATCATTGTCTATTGCCATTCTGTTGAATCCAGAATGGAAGATATTACCCAGGCTTGATTCGGCGTCGTCTCGAGAAGACGCATCTTCGTTGTCGCTGCTATCCTGTAAGTCCGTAATTACTGGAGATGACTCTTCTCTACCAGAACAGTCCTCTGTATCATAGAGAAGCGGAGGCAGGTCCATGGATTGCACCCCATTGGGAGGACGAAGATTTGAAAATGACCCCAGCAGTCCATCCGATGATGTGCAACACAATCCAGGTGATCCATTGGTGTGTTCGGTGTGTCTTTGAGGCAAAGAACATTCCATATCGTGTGAAGAAGATGAAACTGAAGATGAAGAACTGATCTTTCTGCCTTCTATTTCTCGCAAAGAACGGTATGGTGAGGCATCAAGAGCACTAGAGACATCAGCTGCGTTGGGAGCCACAGATAAGGGCTCCTTAGCTTCAGAATGTTCGAACTTATCTGATGACATACTGCTTCGTGAAAGCATCACATATGACCCGGAACTAAATTTCCGTAAATCTTCTGTAGGATGTATCGCCTCACATGGTTGACTGAAGGAAGATGTTGTCTCAAACTTGTTATCCACTGAATCATATTCAGACAAATGCGCGTTTGCTTCAGCACCAGAAAGATCACCATGTCCGGTGGCAACATTTGCCGGTAATTCACTCCAGCGGGCATTACTGTTATCGATGTTGCTTTCATGCGTACTCTCTAGGACATCACCAGCAAAACTAGCTGGGGGCATCACAGTTCTGTTTACCAGTCCGGCAAGACACTGCATTGCCATGGCCTCCGTGGTCTGTTGCTCATCATCATCACCACTACTGGTATCTTCGCTATCATCCAACTCTTCAACATTCGTATCCACAGAAATCCCTGCACTGCTGCCAAACACCTCAAACTCCAGTTGTGTTAGCGGTGGTGCACAAGGCAGCTTGCTATCGATTCTGTTCCTTGAAGATGACGTTGGTGGTTCGAAAAATCTTACCTCTCGCTGTCTTCTCTCAGGCTGTCTAGTACTTAGTTCCGAATCCTCACATGGCTCTTCATTGCTTGCCTCAATGGCTGGAGGGCATGAACTAGCTCTAGTGACGCTTACTTTCCTTGGTGTTAGCGCATTAACTGGGTCCCTTAACGGCAAAGTATCGTTAGTGAATAACCCAGGATGGGAGAATGTTTTCGAGAGGCTTTCCTTTCTTAAAATAGTGCAGTTAAAGCTAGCACTATTGGATATGTACGTGATGCCTGGAAGTGTTACGATCTCGTTGGAGCTACTGGAATCGTCGGGCAGTGGGGCTCCAGGGAGACAGGAGTAGTCCACATTAGAGGCCTTGAATAACAAAATAAACGACCATTAGTTTCTGATGCAAAAAAATACAGAAGGTTAAATCTGGCACAGAAGCCGCCAATAAACACAGTAATCATACCAGGTACACGTCTCACAATGAAAACAGGCTGCGTAGACTTTTTAGTAAACGTTGACAACCTTGCCAGTTATTTTTACACAGTCAAATTCGTTAAAATTACAATTTTGCTAACTAAGAAATATTTAGTATCTCAGGTAGAAAACAACATGAAGATTTAGAAAATACAAGAATACCTCAGAATCAGCTCGATGTTTCTGCAATTCCAAATCGCTTTCACCAGGCAGTATTGGATTCTCCCAGTCCTCCAGTTCGTTTATGTTAGGTAGAAGGAGAACCTCCTCGGCTTCCTCCTCAGAAACTAGTAATGAACAAGAAAGGAAAGATAAGAGAGGAAGGAGAGTTCCATCAATCATACAAACATCTGTAAATCTTCCACTTATGAACCCACATTTTCTTCCTTCACGTAGCATAGTGCTGGCATCGATTTTCCGATAAGTCCAATTTAAGTTTCTGCCTGCGACACTGAACAGGGAAGTTATACCGAAAGCCTTGTAACTTATTTGAGAATGTTACTCTAGTAGGAGGAAACAGAGACTCTGGTATCTTTCAAAAAAGGTCAAAAACGCTATGTATTATACGGTGAGATTTCAATGCAATTATTTCCTTGACTTTTAGGCTGCCTCCAAAACTTTCTTTTGAACGAGCAGAAGTCGATTCAGGCTGTTTTTCAATTCTAATTTGCCTTTCTGCTGGACATTCATCAGATTTTGTTCCCTGGGACATTTTTGAAGAAAGGCCTAGAACAGTGAAATCTATAACCAAAAGTAATACAAGTTGGGATATGCGTTTCCCTTTGATTTTCGAGTCAAACGGGTTTGGTTTCGCCTGTTTATCTCTGAAGGATCGCTCTCTCTTATTCAAACTGTTATGACGTCACAAGAGGTACAAAGATCACCGTCCTACATTGTGCTTTATGGAGCTCTATGAGGCAATAGGCTAACATGTAAACTATATAGTTCGTCGTCCCAGAAGAGTTGCGCCCAAGCAAATAACGGTACAGTTGCAAGCGTGTCAAGGACAGAGGTTCCATTTGAGTGGTCAGAATACTTCAGGTGCCAAAAGGGTTAAAGGATTGTTCAGCAAAACAAAACAAAAGCCTTGATTTTAAAAGACGTTAACAAATACGACGTACCTAATTCCGGTGACCATAGGTTTACCACCATATCCTTGAAGTCTGGACGGTCCTGAGAAGACAAGAAAATATAAAAATTATTTGCTATAAAGGAATTGCTTCTAAGACCATTTATTTATAAAATGGAATTAACATTCTCGATGCAGTTAATAACAAATGTTGATGCCCAACAGATGTCCATTGGATAGCAATAGTACAATTTACTTTTGCGAGTAAAACAACTACTATTGTGAGTATCAGCCCAAGAAAGTTAAGAGGGGAACTCCTTCATTTCGAAATTCTCGTGTCCGTCTTCAATCGTCTTCCCCTTGAGAAGAGGAAAACGACCAATCGGCTAGTGCCACGACTTAAGAATCAGCTGTAATAATTGATCTTACTTTTTCTTTGAAATGATTTGTATGTTACTAGCCATGACTTAATTAATTTTCATCCACTTATTTCAATGAAGGCAAATGGCATCACTTCTCACTTTAGCGGACAACCTCGAACCCTGCCTTCGTCGTATAAAATTTGCGGCACCGATGAAAGACGAAAAAGCTAACCCCTTTTGATCAAATTATTTTAAGGTTTAAACTGGAAGCTTTATATAATGTAAAATAATTATAATTTACTTTTACCGGTGTCACTTGTAATAATAATAATAATAATAATAATAATAATAATAAGTAATGGTAACAGGACTGAGTGGAGTCCAATTCGGTCTATAATCATAGGAGTGATCAACAAAATCGGACGACCGCGTAGCGGAAGTCCGATTTGTTTAATCACGAGTATGATCACAGACCGAATTGGGCGGCACGAAGTTCTGTTACCAGTTAATCATACCTTTAACAAAATTTGTGATATAAAAAGCTCTTTTTTCAAATCATAACACAAGAAATTCCAAAACCCTTTTTTTGCCAGCAGTGAAAAAAAGCCATTGAAGCGCGCGCACGAAGGCGCGCACTGTCCAATTACTATGCCGTCAAATCGTTGACGCCATAAATTACTTAGGCATGAAGCGTACTGTCCTACTAAGGCTGAAATCAGGGCAGTTGATAGCCAATCACATTTAAGAATTTTGTTATAGCTATGATTATAATAATAATTATAGTCCTTAAATAGGGGAACACAAATTACTCTTTAAACAGTAATTTACATTCTGGCCCAAAAGAAAGGCGAAAAAACTGAAATACTTAAAATATATAATGGTATCCAGTAAAGTAGAGTAAGATGTGCAAAAATACAGGGAAAAGATACGTACAAATGCACCTCGTTGAATAAAAAGAACGATATATACAAATATTATATATAGAATTTAAAAATGTTAAAAAGTTCTAGCTCTTAAAAAATGAAATGATCTATCTTTGACATATTGTCCAACATGGCGTTCGCTAAAAAGTTCCAAAGTTGAATGCCGCTTACGTGAAACTTTCGAAGACCAGAGCTTGATTGGTATTAGAAAACTTCCAAAACATTCTTAACTGAGGATCTTGTATCATGTATAGGTATCACTGTTGTGGACAAAGTCCACCATTGAACCTCTAGTATCCGGACATACGCTATTTTCGTTTGCAATTTTTGACATCATACATAATTTCATAATTACCCTGGTTAGCCGCTAGTTATCAGAGTTCCGGCAGACAAAAGTATCAGTAGATCACTGTAGTATTAAGTGGCCACTCAGCCGCCGAATAGAACTTATATTCTATACATCAGAAATCAAATGAAAACCTGTGGTTCTGCTGAGCAGCATCGTTTTATCAGTTCTTGAACTTTCACTGGGACATTCGGTCTGTGAAATAAGGAGAGAGATTGAGTATTCGTAGGTGTAATCAAATGGTGACGAGTGAAATTAGGAAATAATTTCACGCGCGTTTTGTCCAAATCCTAATAATTTCCCGAGCCTTTAATTTCACGAGTATACCATTTGATTACCTATTAATATCATGGGTGACGAATTACGTTAGCAATCTTGGATTTTTGACATGTTTATCCTTGATCGTATCGATCGAAAACTCCTGCACTCTCTCGAACGTTTAGAGCTTAAATTTGGCTTAAGTTCAGAGTTTTTCGACAAAATACCTGTTAGAATCCTTCTTGATGTGCTCTTTCGTGTATTCAGTCTTTTTGTGCCCTGACATCTTCATTCATGGCATTTTAAAACTTCGTCGCCATTTTGACACTGAGACGTACGGAAGGTTGCCATGGCAATTTTGTAATTTCACATGTGAAATTACATATTGACGCTGAAATTTCACGCCAAAATTAAGGAGTAATTCGTCACCTATGATATTATTTTTGTAACTCTTACATATCCTTGGTTTAAATTATATTTTCCTTTGCTTACAAATTACCCAAATCACCATAAAGCCATGGCAATAAATTTAAACCGAGGAGAAAAATTGAAACACATCATCTATGTCAACCAAAGAGGAGGAAAGGCAATAGGCGTTTGTCCATTATGATTTTCTGGGAGAGAGAGATATTGTAAGAGACATATCGTCATACTAGATGACCCGGTGACGAGTCCGACGAAAACAACTTTCAGAAGCGCGTGAATAGTTAGCCTGAGAAAACCAGCCGTTATATCGCGACGTCACCCCTAGTTCCCCGCCGAAACGACGTCTGAGAATCGAGCGCAGAAATTCCATGCTGATGACGCGTCACTACCCAGATCTGGATAGTGTTTCTTAGTGGATGACAATTTGAATTGGGTAGTGACGCGTCATCAGAATGGAATTTCCGCACTCGAGTCTCAGACGTCATTTCGACGGGGAACCAGTGGTGTCGTAGCGAAATAACGGCTGTTTTCTCAGGCTTGTGAATAGTGTTTTCTAGACCTGCTTTGTGGCAATAAATTTATCCTGATTTTAGAACAAACATTCCGCTGGGGTTAACGATTTCTTGTGCGCGAAATGTAACAGGATAGCTTAGCATAGCTAAGCAAGTCATCTTTTAATTTGGTTTCCATGTTGCATTCCAAAAGGAGGAAACAAGCCTTCGGCCTAAATTTGTTACAAAGTTTCTCTGACCTGTGTGGATTAAGATACTGTCCTTGCAAGTACCGGCTCAAAACCTAAAATTAAAAAAAAAATCACACCAATTAGGGCCTCGTAAATACGGTACCTGTATTTTCCGAAGAAAGCCTGCACAAGTTGTTACATAAATGGTAGGCTATTTAGGTTCTCAAATACGTTCTTATTCTCTGATGGAAAAATACATTGTAGTTAAGAGTATTTAGTGGTATTCAACTTATTTCTTACATAAAATCTGAATACCAAATTAGCATTTATGTAAAAATGACTTTAAGAAGAAGAACTGAAGCACTGACCAGATATATTTTGAAGTCCTCCTTCAGAACATAGCATACATGTATTGTAACACAATACCTTATTTGCCCAAGCAGTATACAGAAAGTCTTCATAGATTTTAGAAAATGGGAACCTGTGTCGAATTTTATGCTAAACAGGTTCAAGAGGGGGCCTCAGGTTCTTAAAGACCAGGTTTTTCCTCGCGGGTTTTTACTGTAGTCCAATATGACACAAAAAACTCGCTTGCAGGTTTTGTAATCCATATCGCAGCTACCCTGCAACAAGCAGAGTGCATGCTGAAAGTTCCTGATTGTGAAGAGTCAAATAAAACATTCTATACACTGCTTTATCGCCTTTTATTTTATTCTGTGAAGTGGTTGTAAATCAGCTGCAATAATACTCAGAATGAAAACGAGGAATCATTCAAAGAAAACATTACACAGCTACCAACCGAACACGCTAAGTTCTCTGGCTAACTAGTTAAGCAAGGGATGGTTTTTTACTCAACAGGCAGATAAGGCAAGGATTAATTCGTCCTCCCAAAATGTTCACAAGAGTCTTCACAATACTATAAACATTCAATATGGTTTCAGCTGTTTATAACAACTACAATCATGGACAAACGTCCTTGGGACAGTAAAGCAGTATTCATATTTCTGTAATTTCTGGGTTCCCTCATAAAGAAGAGCTTCCTTGCAGTTCTCTCCCCCCACCCCTCCCCCGCCCTAACCTTATACAAAGTTGAAACTCGGAATAAATTCTGGATACGCGCGTCCAACGCGTTATTTATCGCGTGAGAGGAGGGGTTGGGCATGTGTGAATTAGAAAACGCACCAAACTCTCTGCATTTGAAATGCAAAAGTGTGCCAAGACTTTAGTCCATGATTGTAGCTATGACCAAGAAAATGTTCACCTCGTCTCTTGTTAATACTCGGTCTTCCAAGTTGCAATGAAAGGGCTTTTTCATCACAAACATCTCCCAGACAGTCACACCAAAAGCCCAAACATCGCTTTTCTTGTCGAAAGAATGCGACTGGAGCGACAGAGGTGAAAACCAACAGTAGCTGAACCTAACCGGGACGTAAACAAACTCAACTGTTAGCAAAATCAAACACGATACACGATAAAAATGCTGTAATAAACATTGACTATAAAGCCACTGACTATGGGTTAGGTTTCCTGACGCTATGCAAATGTCATATTTTATCTGATGTCTGTTAGAAGAAAACCAAGTGCTCCAAGAGGACCAATTTGAAAATATAAATACGTAAGTTTGGCTGCTTTACCCATTTTCCTTTCTGGAGGCATAGAAGCTCTGTTTGTTCTCCACCAAGTTCAACAATCCAGAGTCACTGATCTTGACGCAGTCTTCACTGGCCACCAACACATTGTGCGCACTAAGGCGTCCGTGAACGCAGTCCTAAAGGTTAATAAATAAAACGGCAACATTAATTTAGCAACTTTTAAAAGAGGCTGAGTGTGATGTGAAGAATTATGCAGAGCGAGGATGATTTTATACACCGCGGTCCATAATTGTTCTCATCATACGAAAGCCGAATTAAGCATTTGTCTTATTACTCCTTCAAAATATCTCCAAGTTCTTAACAAACTTGTTTTCTCGTAGACATTCCTCGAACATTTCTTGTTTTTCGGCACGGTATCGTAATATAAACAAATGTTTTTTTTTTTTTTTTCCCGCGAGTACACCTTGAAAAGTAGATGACATCCATCGAGCAAAATTCTTTTTGTGTATTATTGCATTTCGTCCGCTCAGTTTTCGTCAGAAATTGGGCTATTTCGTCTTTGGATAGCGGTGTACACCATTTTGTTTGGCTCACTCAGCCATAAACAGCTAGGCTGCTTAGCAATATTCCATCGAATGGTATGTTGAATTCATCTTCTAAATGTGGTAAGCGCAGATGGTGATTTAGCCGGGGGACTAGAACCCATCAAAATAAATAACAAGCAATGTTAAACGTTTTCAAAAGCTTTTATATTTAATGTTACTCGATAACTGATAATAACTGTTAACAACAGGTGATTTCCGATAGGTGATCAAACAGTTTTATAAGGGAGTTGCCCTGTTGGTCTCCACAGAACATACAGGAATAAGTGACACACGGACCTTTGACTCTAATAATTACATCACAAACGAGGTAACGAAAGGCCAGTAACCGAGAATAAAAGTGTCATTGCACTCGCCCAGAGAATCATATTCAAGCTACTAACGATATGAAACCTGGAGTCAAGCTTTTGGCTTTGTCATCCAATTCACTGACCTCTTGACAATTTTACGCCTTTGTTTTGCCTGTATTTTTCTTTATTTGTAGGTCAAAAATTAAGGTTTAATGAACGGTTGGCCTCCATTGCCCAATGATAACTTACCTTGCTGTGCAAGAACATCATTCCCTCCGCTATCTGCGCAGCATAGGAGATCACCCTTCCTTTAGTAATACCTTTCTCTTTTCCACTTTGAATGAGAGTTCAGAAATACAGCTTTGATCATTTCAAATATTTCATATTATTTGCAGATTAATACACCCAGGAAAGCTGCCAAACTAAGTTTCTGCTTCATTTTTACGGTCACCACAGGCTCACCACGGGCTCAATGTACCACAGGCTAACTACAGGCTTAATGGCATGGAGAGCATTTATCACAAATAATCCAATTTTGACAAAGCAGGTTAAACTCCCCCGGACCGTTATGGTTAAAATCGACGACAAACATGTTGACACACTGTCGTCAAAGATCAAAAGAGTCTGGACCACTTTCCTCTACCGCTCCATTCAAAGCTGGATTGTTTGTTGTTTATCACAGGTAGTTTAAACAGCGGGACAACATTGACATTTAAAAAATTACTTAGGTTTAACAATAAACTAGTTTAAACAAAATTTTAAACATAAACTAGGTTAAAAAAATAATAAATTTGACCTGTAACAATTATACTGTCTAAGAAGAAAGAGGATCGCAACCCAGGGTCGAACCCGAACCTTTCGTATTCTCATCTCTCTACCTTATCACTACACTACTACAGTGACCTGCCAAAATTCCGAAAA